ATGTTATGTGCTTGGGTGGAACTTTATTTTTTTGCAAAAAAAAAAAAAAAAAAGTTATTTACTTATATTTTTTTTATCACATAGGGACACAAAGTCACCTATGTAGAAAAAAAACTAAGAAACAGCGAGCACTCATGGCCCCCAAAACGTCACAATACGCTGTGATATGATCACTTTAATAATCTTTTGGATCTCCTGTTTCAAAGATCCATGGTGTGCTGCAATACAGGTGACACTCAAAAAATTTGAATATTGTGCAAAAGTTAATTTATTTCAGTAATGCAACTTAAAAGGTGAAACTAATATATGAGATAGACTCATTACATGCAAAGCAAGATAGTTCAAGCCGTGATTTGTTATAATTGTGATGATTTGACGGCTTGAACTATCTTGCTTTGCATGTAATGAGTCTATCTTATATATTAGTTTCACCTTTTAAGTTGCATTACTGAAATAAATGAACTTTTGCACGATATTCTAATTTTTCGAGTTTCACCTATATATGTTTTTACTTGTATTTGGAGTTTGGGCTCTCTAGGTCACTACAATGCACCACAATATGTGCATGTAACTTTTTTTGAAAGCTAATGATCCTCAGGACCCCAGTGGAGTTGTGTTTGCAGAGGAGTCTCATGTCCAGAGGAAGGATCTTTTCCCGCGCTGTCTGTCTGGTCCGTTTAAAGGGGGTTTCCTGCCGATTCTTGGTTGTAATATACCATTCAACATATTACGCTTTGATTATGCACATCTGGTGAGTGCTCATTTTTATTAATCTCCCGCACAGATAAAGCCACATGGAATCATTTGACACCATATGTGCAACAGGACCCATTTGCAACACTGTATGCTGTATGCTGACCCGATTGTGTCACACCTTCACCACCTTATGAACACTCTTTGCTTTAAGACTTTCACAGTTGAACATTTTCTTTTCACTGCGCCAATCATAGTGCTTCATCCATTTATATTTATATCACGAATAATGATCTAATAATTATAATTTATTATTATCAATAAATATTATTTATTATTTTATTTCAACGGTTTGTCATTTTTTAGCGCTGCACTGTTTTCTGTTTGTATAAAGTCCCCTATGTAATGATTTTTAAGGTGACAAGTTCTCTTTAATGAGATATGCAGGGTCTAAAAGACCCGTGTGGGTGAGAGAACCAGAACACACACACAGTCTGAATGATCTGTTCCAACATACTAGAGCTGTGACTCAGCATCGTGAGATGTTTCCTGCTAAAAAGACTGCATGCCCCTTTATACTTTTCATAAGTAAATACACCAACAAATATGTATAAATCACTTAGTCCATAGTGAGCACCTTTAAAGTGACACTAAAGCTTTTTTTTTTCTAAATAACAAACATGTCTATACTTACCTGCTCTATGCAGTGATTTTGCACAGAGCAGCCCCAATCCTCTGATTTTTGGGTCCCCTCCAGCACTCTGGGCTCCTCCTCCTGGGCACTCCTGGCTCCTCCTCCTCGAGCAGTGCTCCCAGGGAAAGTTGCTTGCCCTGAGGGCACCTCTGCGTGCTCGTCCCCGAGCTGCTGCTCTATGCGTCCATAAGACACAGAGCCGTGGCTCGGCCCTGCTCTCTCTTCATTGGCTCACTGGCCAATGGGCTCCCTTTACTGTCTCAGCCAATGAGGAAGAGTCCCCAGACAGCAGAGGCTGTCGAGAACATTGCTGGATTGGAGGGAACTCAGGTAAGGATTGGGGGGCGGGCACTGCACACAGGTTTTTTTTACCTTCATGCATAGAATTATTATTATTATTATTATACAGGATTTATATAGCGCCAACAGTTTGTTCAGCGCTGTACAATATAACGGGAGACAATACAGCAACAATACAGTTCAATAGAAGAGGGAAAGGAGGGCCCTGCTCCTTGGAGCTTACAATCTAAGAGGGAGGGGCTGGTGGTATAAAAAGGTAATAACTGTGGGGGATGAACTGATAAGAGAAACAGAAGATTCCATTGTTAGCTGAAGGCAGGATAGACTTCCCTGAAGAGATAGGTTTTCAGAGATCATCTAAAAGTGAGCAGAGTAGGCGATAGCCCGATAGATTGGGTTAGAGAGTTCCAGAGGATGGGGGAGGCTCTGGAGAAGTCCTGGAGATGAGCATGGGAGGAGAAGACAAGGGAGCTAGAGAGCAGGAGGTCATGGGAGGAGTGGAGAGGACGGTTTGGGTGATATCTGGAGACAAGATTTGGTGATGTAATTTGGGGCAGAACACATGAAGGTAAAAACCTTGAGCCTTTGGAACCACTTTAATCAAAGTAAGATGAGTAGATTCTGTCTGATGTGAGTACAATATCCCTCCTGGATCTCAGGCCCCATTCACACTATGTTGTTTTGAATGCGAGCAGAATCGCTGCGATTCTGCCCATGATTTAAAAACGGCTTGCTAAGATAACAGATCGCGCAACAGTGTGTTTAGGTGACATTCATTTTAATGGCACCTAAAAACACGGTGCGGTTCTGCCCTGTCGCTCGATAAATCGCATTGCAGAAAACATGTCGCTCAAAAGAAGCTTCTGAACTTCTTGAATATTTGCATCATCACCATCAACATTAAAGCGGAGTTCCACCCAAAAAGGAAAGTTCCGCTTTAAAGATTGGTCCCCCGCTCCCCATTAAGGATTGGCACCTTTGGGGAGCGGGGGGGGAGAGACGGGTATCCGAGTTTGACAGGTACCCGCTCCCACTTCCGCTGCGATCACCTAGGAGATCGGAAATGGAAGTTGTCCTCCTACCCTCCCTCCCCCGAAGTCTTGTGGGACATGTGACAGGTCCTAGAAGATGACGGGGCCATTCAGGAAGCGCAGCGCTACTCGCGCATGCGCAGTGGGCACCCAACTGTGAAACCGCAAGCTGTCACAGCCAGGTGCCCACACTGAAGTTGCCGGCGACTGGAATACAGGACGGCGGGGGCAACGCGGGATTGTGGGACAGGTGAGTGGCTGTTTTTTAAAGCTGCTGTTTTTGTAGCTGCTGACTTTTTTTTTTTTTTACAGTGTGAGTGGAATTCCTCTTTAAGGCCCCATTTACACTATGGCGGTTTGAACTGCGGGCAGAATCACACAAACAATATTGTGTGAATGGGACCTCAATACTGATGATGCAGATATTACAAACACAGCAAACAACTCTAAACACAATGCTGTAGCAAATTGTATTTATCAATTAAAAAGAAAAAAAGGCACAAAACATTTTTGATGCTGCTGTAATAAAATATTTTAGCACAAATGGAATCACTAAAGTCTTATGTAAAAACGTAAGTCCTCATGCATGCGGTACATTTTGATTACACTGGTAACATTAAAGTAAAGTCACATTAAAAACATGAGTTTTGATAACGCTGGTAACATTAGCTGTGTAAAGTCACATTAAAAACGTGAGTTTTGATAACGCTGGTAACATTAGCTGTGTAAAGTCACATTAAAAACGTGAGTTTTTTTTAGCGTTTTTGCATTAGCATTTAGCTGCGTTTTTCCACATTTAGCAGGCATTTTCCCACATTTTTTCCACGTTTGTGGTTTTGTGGGGTTTTTTTACCAAAATTGTTTTTGGGGGGGGTAAAAAAAGCATCCAAAAACACCGGTTTGCCACGTTTTTCAGCGTTAGAGCATTTTTGCAGCTAAAAAAACTCCTCTAGAAACCCACTAGCCCTGGGTTTTTTTTTTTTCCCAGCCAGAAAATGTCCCAGCCAAAAAATGTTGATTACAGTCTATGTGTGCGTGGACACATAGGATAACATGCTGGGGGATTTACTAGCTGTAGAAAAAAAACGTCAAAAGCCAAATACAGCGGCTGTAAAAACATCCAGTGTGCACGAGGACTAAGGCTGGTCATACACTATACAATTTTCTGTCCAGTTTCTGCCCAATTTCTTTAAGATTTACCTTCAACTGTGTAGTGCAAGGGCCTGCCTAATTGGATACAATGAAAAGTGTTGTTTAAGTTTGACCTCATATTATATGGTTTTTGGTAAATCTAAAGCAAAATTCTTAAGAAAATTGTATAATGTATGGCCAGCCTTAATGCAGTATCATGACAAAAAAAAATGTCCAGGACATCCAATAAAATATATAACAAAATTGTAAATCCTATAGAAGTTACTTACCAGAACAACACAACAAACAGCACCACTATCACCGTAGCTCCCAGCACATACTGTCTGGATGACAGCATTTTCTTCTTATGGCTGACAATGACTTCCTAAGAAGGATCCAGATGTTTTCCTTCCAACGAGATAACAACCAAGAAATTCAAGTCATCTATTTTAGAAGAGCCAGCAAAAAGTAAGTGGAAAAGGGGCATGTCCTGATGAATATATATTCATGTATATAATGGGTAAAATGCAGCCATCATGGTACCATCTCTCAGACTGAGCAGATTCAGAAGCAGCCTGACAAGACAGCATGAAGGGAGTGAACCTTTTGTATGTGTTCCTCCTCTATATCTCATGTTACAAGTCCACAGCACCAAGCTGCGCCTCAGCACAATCAGAATATGACCCCTAGAAATGTTCTTCTTGTTTACCCTACAGCAATGGAGGAGAGGAAAATTCTTCTGAAAATAAATATATTTACCATAATGCTACTTAAGTACACAACTGTAAAATGACTGCCCAGACTATCCATCCTCCTCCGTACGAGGATGTAGGTTCCATGTACACGGGACACTTCTGAACGATGGAAACTGACTGCTGGAAAAACGTAAGTTAAAAAACGTCTATTTAGCCGCGTTTGCATACCACGTTCATGAGCGTTTGCGTTTAGAAGCGTTTTTTTAAAGATAACCTCAGGAGGCCTTCCAATATGCCCAGAATGTGCTGAAAAACAGTAGAAAAATTAACTATTTCAGACATTTTGAGAGAAATAGAGGAGAAGCAGAGAGAGCAGTATTTGTTGAGATTAGCTGCCTTTTTTTGTGGTGTTTGGATGTGTTCCAGCTCATTTCTGTGCAGACATTATTTCAGCAATGTCTAACATATTTTCTTTCATGCGAAACCTCAAAGTATGATGTACCAGGTCCATTTGAGTACTGGGGAAAACGCTTTGCATGCATTTTTCATGATGATAAAAGGCTCTGGACAGCATCTGGAAATGGAAGAGTTAAAAGAAATTTCCAAACGCAAACGCTTATAAATACTGTTAGCCATGTTTACACGTATTTACAAGCATTTGGCGTTTGAAACGCTGATAAAATCTACTCCTGAACGCAATTTTGGTGCATTAAAAAAAACGACGACTGTAAACGACATAGTGTACATCAGTGGTTCTCAACCTTCCTAATGACACGACCCTTTAATACAGTTCCTCATGTTGTGGTGACCCCCAACCATAAAATTATTATCATTGCTACTTCATAACTGTAATTTTGCTACTATTATGTATCGTAATGTAAATATATGATATGCAGGATGTATTTTCATTGATACAAATTTAACATAATTAAAGCATAGTAATTAATCACAAAAACAATAAATATTTATTTCTAATTACAAATAAATTAAATTTTGTCTTGAAGCATGGTGTTGCATGGGTCTTAGGCGACCCCTGTGAAAGGGTGGTTCGACCCCCAAAAGGGTTGTGACCCACAGGTTGAGAACTGCTGGTGTACATGGACACATAAGAAAATATTAGGGAGAGTTCAGGAGCTGCTGAAAAAAAAAAACAAAGCTGCAGTGTACATGGAGCCTTAGGAAAAAATATAAGTAGGTTTAGTACTTAAATTAGATGCAAACTGTAACTTGATGACATTATTTATTATTTATTTCAGGTACTTATATATATATTGTACATTCGTATCAGTCCCTAACTCTCAAGGGGCGTACAATCTAACTGTGTATCCTTACTGGTTTCTTTTTTTTTTTCACCTCTTCTAGCCTTGTTCAACCATTTCCTATCTACACTACAACCTCAGACTAAGCTTAGCATACCGCTCAAAGCCAGGGATCCTGTTTCCATGATCCATTGGAAAGAAGGAGTGCAGATGTGATAATGAAAGCAGAAAAAGGAAAGCGCCATCTAAGTGCAGCAAACCAACAATTTTTAGTAAGGTCATAAACTAGCAACTCACGTGTTAAAAACTGCAACTCGCCTCCCTGATCTTTATGGTGACCATGATTAATGTTCCTAGGAACCCTAGAGTTTCTCTGCTTAATCAGCCTATTCTAGGTGTCTCTAGGTCTGTTCAGAGCTTACTATATTTTATGTTTTTAGCAGCTAAAATTGCGATTGCTACAGCAAGGAAGGGTCTGGTGCAGGGGCGGATTGACCATTCGGGCACTCGGGCATTGCCCAAGGGCCCGGGGTCAGTAGGGGGCCCCATGAGATGTCCCTGGTATCTTTCATAGGCTTTTTTGGGTGTAGTTTGAGTGTGGGCAAGGACACAGGGGCCCCATGATCCCTTATTGCCCGGGGGCCCCATGAGTTGTCAGCCCGCCCCTGGTCCGGTGGTTGACTTGGCGTTGATGAAACGTAAACTCTCTTGGATTATGGTCAATGATACTTCTGCTGGATACTTCTGCTGGATTTTGAACGGATCTGGAGCCCATGGATTGATTACCTGCAAACTGGGTTTTAATGTTGATGGCTGCTCTGTTTGAGGTTCTGTGGGGCTGGTCATGCAGGTGGCTTCTCTTCTGTTCTGATCTTTTCTATTCTCTTGTATTTCTCTTTCTGCTCCCCCCCCTTTTTTTTTCTTTTCTCTGTCTTTTCTTTTCCTTTTCCTAGATTTATTCCCCCTTTTTTTATTTCTTTTATTGATGTTTAATCATTCGGCCCTCTGTTGGATTACTGCTGTGTTGCAGGCTATAATCATTTAATGTGGTGTGATGTTTTTTTTTTTTTCTTCTCTATACTGGCTATAGGGGAATTATAGCTTGTGTGTTTTGACACCTGGGTTCGCATGGCAGTCCCAGTCTTTTTACACCTTTAGTTTGATGGTTTCCCGCTATGCGGACGTCTATTGCACAGATAGTTTGAGATGCTATACTGTGTTTCAATCTGTATTTTATATGCAATGATATAAGATGTGTTTATAAGTATGCACTTTGCTTGCGTTGCGAGTTATATTGTGCCTTGGAAGGGTCTACAAGGATTGTTGTATAACTGTTTCTTTGTTCTGTTTGTTATAACAATAAAAATATTGAAACAGAAAAACTGCAACTTACTTATCAAAATGGTAAACACTGCTGTCGTCCTGGTCCCAGAATCTGACGTCACTCCCACCCCTGTGCTGGCGGTGTGCTCCAAGCTGAATTGCAGTATTCCTCCACCTCCCATCTCTGGTTGTCGGCTCTGGTTATCGGCTCTGGCTGCTACAATATCCATACAGAGACATAGTGATGGCTGCCTGGTGCACAGTGGGATTCTGGGACCAGGGCAACAGCGGGGTTTACCCTTTTGATAAGTGAGTTACAATTTTTAACACTTCCTGTCCCATAGCCAAACAGGAAGTGAGCGGAAATCCCTCCAAATTAAGGGAAATTCCTTGGGGAAACCAGGTTACCACAAACTATTGGAAGATTTCCCCTTTATTACTTTTTTGGGGACAACCCAAAATTTGGGATTTTCTTTAACTTTCAATGATAATGGTAACCAGGACAAAAAAAGAGAGGGTGAATCTCCCTAATGGGGAGCACAGACAGCAATAAAAACTGACAGCTGTTCTAATCCCTCTCCACTCCATCCAAAGCTGAACAAAAAAAAAAGTTTTGCCTTTAGTTTTATACTTTAAGATTGAACTGCTTCTCATCCAATTTCATTCTGTGGCCATGTGCCTTCCCTGGAGACCTTAAAATAAAATAGTTTCCTCCCAATGCTAGAGTCGCCGTTTAAAGATTTGTATATTGCGATCATATCTCGTCTTAAAGCGTCTCTTCACCAGGAAGAATATGTTTAATGTTTGTAGTCATTCCTAATAACTGTGGTCCTCCAGCCCTCTTAGCTTTGCATCCTTCTCTGGACTCTCTCAAGTTCAAGCACATCCTCCATGAGGATAGGTGACCAGAATTGGACAGCATACACAAGAAGTGACTGAGCCAGGGTTTTGTTAAGTTATGGAATTATAGTTTTATCTCTTGAATAAATACCACCGCTTTTTTTAATTTATGCTAACAGTCTGCTTGCCTTGCTTGCTGCAGCTTGGCATTGCATTCTATTGCTGAGACTGTGATCCACAATTCAATATAATCAAGGACTAAAATTTAAAAACAAGCTTTAGGGGGTAGCAATAATTGCCTTAGAGAAGTCCTACTTAGATATACTACACCCACGGGCCCTTCTTTTCATCCAAATTTTTAAAAAGGGGGTCTGGCAAGAAAAGTCATTCCTAAATCCTGTTGGTTATACTAATGATAAAAAAATTCCCTGAATAGGGGTTTTTATCATTCCTTCCAATATTTTCCCACCTATTAATGTTAGGCTGAGGGTCTGCATTTTTTCCGGTATATAACATGCACTTTTTGAATTTTGGGTGCATTTGTTTTTTCGCCAATAGCTGTTAACATTTCATACAGAAAAGCTGTTTAAAAAACTTTTTAAACAACTTCCCCGATCTCTTTTAGGGGCCCCAATATTTTGCCTATACTTTTTACTATTAATAAATTTAAAAAAAATGTAGGGTTTAAATTTTTTTCTTCTCCTTAGCAATTGTCTATTGAAATCTTTTTTAGCTATTTGATTGTGCTTTGTTTTTATTCATTCTTTGTAGTTTTGGGAATCCAAAAGGGCCCCTTCAAGTTTTTTATTTTTTAAAGGGCATTTTTTTGTTAAATAATATGTTTTTTTTACGTTAGTATTTAACACCCTTTTTCATTTTTATTTTTTATTTTTTATTCCCCTTTGGAATCCTGTTGATTGCATTATTTATTAGCCCCCTTAATGCATCCCATTTGTTGTTATTTTTTTTTGTTGCAAAAATTTGATCCCATTTAGTATTTAAAAAGTTGGCTTTTTTTTTTTTTATCCTCCCTCTTTTTCCCTTTTTCCCTTATTTTTACAACAATCGTAAATACAAAGTAAAAAAAAATTCAAAAAAATGCCCAAAAAACAAAAAAGGGGGTTTTTTTATGCCAGCATTTCGAAAGAAATTTACAACAGCAAAAAGTATAAAAGTAAATTTTTTTAAATTCAAACAAGGGAAGGACAGGTAGGCAAAATTGAGTACTTTAAGTTGTGTGTCTGACTTGATGCATGCATTCCAACTTGGGGCCAGCATTTAAAAGGGGAAAGAAGTGGTTCCCCCTGTAAATGACTTTTTGGGAAAAACTGGGGCAAAAAGGATTTTAAAAAAGGGAAGGAAGATTTTTCTTGGGGGGATTATCTTTGGACCCATTGTGCATCCAACTACTGGGAAAGCCCACCTTCATCACTAGGTACTTGTTTTTTTTCCCTGGCTGGGATTTTGGTTCATTTTTTTATACCCAATTTTGTTTTTCTTTCTTTAGTTTGTTAAAAAGCCCTAAAATGCAGCGCAACAATTTTATAAAAATATGGTGAAAACAATATATACAGCAAAAAAAAAACAAAAAATGTCTTGTGAAAAAAATGTGGCTATCCCGATGTCTTACCAATACATCATATGGCCCCCAAAAATGCACAAAACCAGTGCTATAACGAATATGACACAAATAACAAAAAATACCCTTAAATAGAGAACGTCCCTTTAAAATCTTGAATATCAAAAGGGACTTGTGGGGTTTATCCTATAAATCTGACCAAATCCCTGACTATGAGTGTATCCAAAATGGCAAAAAAAAAAATGGTGCCCCATCCCTTTAAATCCACTGACTTCAAAAGTGACCAATGGGGCGGTAAAGGCCCCGGCCCCCTTGGGGTACCCTTCCCCCGGGGATTAATTTTCTTAAGAATCAAAAGCCCCCTTTTTGGGAGGGGTTCTGGCGGGTTTTTGGTTTTAAAGTGTCCCCTCCCGGGAAAAGGTGTAAATGGTATTTCCCCCCAAAAAAACCAATTTTAAAAAAAACCGAAAAAAAACATTAAAAATTTTGGGGGGCCCCTTTCCTTTTTTGGAAAGGGGCAGAAACCCTTTTAAAAAGGGGGGGACTTGGGGAAAACCCTTTGGAAACCTCTCAGGTATTTTTCCCTTTTGATTTAAAAGCTCCCCAAGGTAAACCAATTTATGGATGGCAGGGCCCCGTTAAACCCGTACAGTGGTGCCCCGGGGGGCAGCCGGGGTTATTTGGGACCCTTTTGGTACCCAAAAAAAAGGGAAACCCCCCCAAAATTTTTCCTTTTAAAGGGGCGAAGGTTGAAAAAAAAAGAGAATTAACTTTTTTGAAGCCTTTTATCTTTTAATTTCTTTTTTTGACCCGGAGAAAGGGGGGGGAGGTTTTTGGGGCAAAGGGATTTTGAGAGTTCCGGGGTGGAAGAGGGGCAGGGAAGTGGTAGGGAAAACGGCCAAAATGGGGTTTGGGTGGTTTTTAGGGGTAAGGGTGGTTTTTGGGGGCAAATTAAAAAAGAAAAAAAAAATTTAAAGGGGTGGTAATAAGGGATTAGGTGGAGTTAAAAGGCTAATGGAAAAGGGGAGGGGCATTCGTGGAATATTAATAAACCCCCCAAAGAAGTAATGGGTTTACACCTACTAATACTATGAAAGACAAAAGAGGGTAGGGTTAAAA